AAGTGAATGAGAACCTGCAGAAAGAACAAGAGCTACAGCCAGCTGAAACAAAAAGACTGACCACAGCTTCTGCCATGACTCACTACCACTACCTTGGGGAACAGAGGAACCAAGGAAAGGACAGCCAGAACAGGCTTCTGTGAATAACACACACCAGCTGTAGAGAGACTTCTCGCTGTGCGAATTGGTGAATTAGCTGTTTCAGTGCATCTGAGGGAAAATAAAAGTGTACTTCAAACTTTGCTGAAATGTGTGTTGTGCCTCTGAATGCTGCTCCAGAACTGCTCCCTGCCCTGCCCCAGGTGCAGAGCCATCTGTGACAGCACCTTGCAGTTCACAGGGTTAAGGGTTACATGCTGTTTTTCACAAGTCAAAACTGGATGTTTTAGTTAAATTGGAAGTTACTAACAAAGTTATTTTAGTTAAGTGCATTTATGTCACAGTACAAGAATCTGCCATTATGGGTTGCCCGGATCTTTGCATAGCTTCCTTCACCTCCTGTAGCTATTGAGGACAACAACTAACAGAGTTTAGTTGCTTCTCAGCTGAACTTCAGGTGCGAGTGTGTTTTTGCATGTAACTTCTGAAGCAGTTGAACTGAGCGAATCCCTACAGCCACTAGAGTGAGCACAGTGCTTCTGAATTACTGCTCAGCTAAAATGGGCTAAAAACACAGGCGCTCCGGGAGGCCCCGGCCCCCGCCCACCTGCCGCTCATGGTGGGAATTTAAAACAGAAATCCCCTTCCCATCTGCACCTTTTCCAGCCTGGGGAGGAAGAGGTGTTATCTTCCATGTGGAGAGAGAACAATGAAGAGCGTGATGTGAATGGGAGGGCTTGGGAAAAGACTAGGGATGGGATACACAGGAATCACGGTCTGGGCAGGGGCAATAATCATAGATAGATTTGAGAATTCTGGAGAAGGTGGGAGCGCTGACCTTCCATCAGTCCAGGGCAGGGAGCAAAGCTCAGGGGCAAGGTCTGCGGGTCAGGGCTGCAGTAATCCAAGCACAGCGAGGAAAGGCAGAACTGCCGAAATTAGGATTTCTCGTTTTATTTTTAAGCAAAAGACACGCAAGGAAGACATTCCACTGTTGCCAGTACTCAACACAATGCCTATTATTGGGTTTTATGAAGTGTGCCCGACAGCGCCCCGCAACCCTCGCGGCCCCGTGCCCGGCCCGGCCGTGCCCTGCGGGCCCCGGGCCACCCCCGCGGCCCCGCTGTGCGAGCGGTGAAAAAGAGCCTCCGCCGCGGCGGGGACAAAACAACTTGGCAGCGGTGGGATTCGAACCCACGCCATCGAAATGACTGGAGCCTAAATCCAGCGCCTTAGACCACTCGGCCACGCTACCGCCTGGCTGCTCAGGCGCCCACCAGGCCTCTTTCACCGCGGCCACCCCGCCGCTCTCCACACCGACCCCCTCACGCGGCCCACCCGTGTCTGCGCCACCACAGCGCCCTCGGGCGCCCGCCCCGTGGCGAGGACGCGGCTGCTGCCGCGGGCACGGGCTCCTCGCTCTGCGGCGGCGGTTCCGCCCCGGCCCGGCCCCGCGGGTTCCCCAACAGGTGGCGCCGCCCGCACACGTGTCCCGCGCTGACCCCGCACCCGCGGCCCCGGCTCCCTCCCCGCTCCCTCCCCCGGGGCCCGGCCGCCCCCTCCTCCGCGGGGCCCCGGCCGTCGGGCCGCGCCTCGGGGCACTTTGTCCGCGGCAGGCACGGGCCGGCACCCGGCAAAGCGCTGCCGTGCGGCCTTTCCCCACAGCGCTTGCAGCAGCGGCGGATCAGCTCCAGCCCGTCCTCGGGAGGGCTTTGCCCGGCGGCGCGGATCTGCGGCCCCAGGGATGGCCTTTCCCATGGTCACGCAGGGTCGAGGGCAGCCCTTCGCAGCTGCCAGAGCAGGTCTGCGCACACCTCCCAGCCGGGAAGAGGGTCCGTCCTGCCCCATATCAGCCCCCCCGTTCTCTGCCCGCTGCTCTCAGGAGGCAGTGCCTCCCGCCCACCACAGCACAGGTGCTGCCCACAGGGTTGCCAGCTCAGCTCGCCAGTCACCTTCCCGGCCAGCTGCTCGCTTGGCACCGCTGTGTGTCTTCAGCTGAACCATTCCCACCCAAAACGGTGGGCCTCGGCCGCCTTTATCTTGGTGCTGCTCCACATGCAGCTGCGGAGCTGGTACAAGTGCAGCTGGTGGCCGGGGCTGTCCCTACACAGTCGTGTCCTGCTCTTTGGTGCCTCGCTTACCTGCTGCCGCCGAGCTCGGGCACGGCGGGAGCGAGCTTGTCCTGTCCACCTCGATGAGGGAGCTGGGTTTGGCAACCAGAACCAGATTCCGGCTGTCGCTGGTGAGTAGAAGGATGAATTCTCATATTCTGGGAGGCCCGCAGGAGAAATTTGTATAATTACTCGTGGACAGAGCTGAAAACATCAGGACTAAATGCCATGCAATTAAAAAAAAATGAAGAAATTATATCTACTATAGCCCTTCTCCCCAAAGGAAGTCACGTGCTGGAATTTTTATGCATGTGTATTAGATGCACCTGCCATATGGACATTTATGACCAACTGGATTTACCTTGTAAGACAGGACTGTCACAGGCACAAATTGTCGCAGGATTAACGATTTACAGTCAATTTTTAAATCTGGCTTTTCAAATGAATGCAGAACAAAATTGCTCTGAAAGTTAGTATAATATATCTGGGGTGTGCTTTCCTTTTTCCTTTCAAAAACCGCTGTTCCCTAGAACAACGATTTCTAAGGGGAACCTCATTTATCGTGGGCATACTGGAACTTTACAAGCTACCATGCTCTTGGAAAAAAAAATATGCAATGCTGAACATACTCAATGAAAGAACAGCATACTAGACTTGCAGGTCACTAATTTCCTAAGTTGCCATTTCAAATATAATTTTTAGTATTTTCAAACAAACAAAAAATGAGAATCAAACCCTTTCAGTGTTAAGGATATAATAGGTAACATATAACTAGAAAACTAAAACTAGAAGATGCAGCGTGTCTGGGCCGATATCTGATTTCAACATACATCTTTAGTATTCCATTAAACACTTTTTCACCATCAGTGATTGTTCTTTTAAGAGGATATTATACAGAAGAGAAGCCTCAGGCTTAAATCTGAAAATAAGTACACCCTTGCATCAGAACTGGCTTATTTAAAAGCATGAGACGTGTAGCTTGAGAGGGTATATCCTAACTATGTTCTTAATAGACCAGGACACTCTCCATGAGGATTTATGGCATAATACAGCCACATGCCACTGGGTTCCTTTTAGTCCAAGCAATGCCGAGTGTTTGCCTGAGTTTAAAGCCAGCTGCTCTTGTGACTTCAGTTGTGCTCACGTATCACACCAGTAACAGTATTCTGCTGTTATCAGTAGCCTACCATAGCAGGTGGTCATTTTTTAACCATTATCAACACATTTTCATGCAGTGGGAACGAGACATCTGGCCTCCACTAGGCCTTCAGAATTCATTTGATGAGTCTTTGCCCTTCCCAGGCCTTGCCGTGAGGCATCCCGACGCCAGCCCTGCTGGGTGCTGCTCTCCCCAGGGCACTCAGCCAGGCTGCCTGCAGAATGAGAAACGGGGAGACACAAGTTCTGATGCTGATGGGGCAAACGTGCTCAGTTTTTGATAATTGTTAATATTTACCACCGTGATTTGCAGCTGGGAGATGAATAGGAGGTTTTCCTACACAACCACAAACATTGTAAATGTGTTTGAGCTTAAACTCTGCAGGAATTTGAGGCTGGCCAGAAATGTGCCTGTAGGAAGCAGCATTAGACGAGGGCTCCATGAAATCTCTGCTTTGCATTCTCAAAGGAGGGCTGAACCCTCAGCATGGTGCTGGAAATTGCTGACAAAATTAGTTACCCTGAAATCGCCCGTGTGCTGCTCCCTCCAGTCTCCAAGCTAAGACACAGTTTAATTTATGCAAGTAATGGTGGTGGCAGGCGGGTGTTCCTGGCAGAAAGACAGAGCATCTGCTCTGCGTGTTTTTAATTAAATATTAGTAATCTTCCTCCTAAGGATTATCTCAGCACTAGCACTGCAGCAGCATTTCTCTGTTGTGTTGCCTCCCTCTTTGCAGAGCACAGGAATTGTGCATTTTTCTGTCTGTGATACCACAAGAGACCATCCATCTGTCATGAAGGACGTACTCCCATCTTCCAGTCTCGGTTCTGTAACCCCTACTCATGGTAAAAACCACTAATGAGAGTTATTTACATGAACAGCAGTAAAAGAGGCAGACTCTTTGCAGGCTGCCAAGTAATACAATTAAGCCAGAACCTCTTTATATTAATTTCCATGTAACCCATGAAAGGATAAGGAGTTTTGTTTAAATTTTCCACAAATTCTAGCTGGAGGAAAAGCTTAAACATAGGCACTCCCCACCCGGAATGCCAGTGTTTTAGGAAGAATGCAAACGTGGGTGCTTTGAGGAACCTCGGTCTTTGGAACTTGAAATTTGGTGCATAATCCTGCCATTTCTTATGGGGAAATGTGCAATTGTGCCATTTAATTTAGCTGGAAAGGCCAACCTGAAGTGCATATAGGCCCTGCAGTCGCTGCCCAGGTCTGCTCCCTCCGCCTTCCCTCAGGGTGCTGCCGTGCAGTGGGACCCTCCTGCCCCGGAAGACCCGCCGGGCACAGAAAGTAAAGGAAATCTGGACGCCGCTCCTGCGAGCAGCGCTCTGGAGACCCGCACACCCGCTCCGCCTCCTGCCCCCCCGGGTTCCTCCGTGGCTAACACCTAACGGTGCTAACTGGGGAGGGGGAAGCTCTCCTCAGATTTTCATCGGTTTTCTCATGGGAATAAAGCGTGTCCCCCCGTCTCCTCGGTGTCAGGTGCTGTGCGCGGCCCGCTGAGGAGAGCGGGAGGCGGCGCCTCGTCAGCGCTGCGGGCGGGGGGGCCGTGAGGGGCGGCCTCGCTGCCCGACTCCCGCCTGCTTTCGCGGGGCGGCTCTGCCGCCCGACTGCCTCCTTCCCTCAGCGGGGCCCCGCCTCCCTCCTCCTTTGCCTGGAGCGGCTTCTCCTCCCGTCTCGCTCAGCGGGGCGGCTGCGGGACCGGGCGCGGCGGCTGCGGGATCGCTCTGCACCGAGCCGGGCTCTTCTGCCGCGGTAGGTGCCGTCGCGGTGCCGGGCCGGGGGTCGGGAGCTGCCTCAGACTGCTGCGCGGCGTGGAGCGCGGAACGGGCTTTCTAGATTTGTTTGTAAATGTTTTAAAATTTGCAGAACGTGATCAGCAGCGCGGTAGTTTGAGCCTGCAAAAGGCCGGGGCCAAGCCTTTGCGCTGGGCTAAAAATAACCTGATTCGTGTGTGCTGGGCAGCGCTGCTGCGCGTACACCTGGAGTTTAGCGTTTCTTCCGTGCACATAATTTTAATGCGTGCGCTGATGAAAGTCCCCAGTGGTGTTTGTGACCGTGGAGCGGCTGGTGTGTGGCCGGGGCTGGGTCCGCCGTGCCAGCCCGGAACGGCTCCAGGACTGCTCGCGTTTGGGTAATTTTTCAAGTGCCTCAATACGCGTAAAACATAAGCTTAATTAAGACCGTGGGATACTGCGCAAATACTTACAAAAGGTCAGCGATAGGCAGTTTTTCAGTGTATTTAAAGCCAGTTGAAATGACAGGGCTATTAATGTCAATGGAAGGACATTTTGAAGTTGTATTGGAAGTTCCTTTTGTGCCCTTTTACGTCCCCGTGGTTTGGGTACTGTTAACATAGTATTTATTTGTATGTTTGGCAGAAGGGTGGACTTGGCTCGGAGGGGTCGTTCCTGTGCTTCACTGCTTGTAGCTCTAAAAGCCATTTGTGTTTTTGAAGCCTCACAGTGTTTCCTAGCACAGCGTTTTGGGGTTCAAATGCTTTGTACTCTGAGCTGGTGCAGAGGAACTCACCCATTTGCTCCATGAATTTTGCATCGTTGTTCCCTAACACTCAGGCTCATGCAGTCATTATCCCAGCTGTGCTTGCAGGCAAGCTGAGTGTGGTTTGTGCCGTGCTGTTTGCAGTAGTGGCACACTGGAAGGGACCTGTAGTAAAGCTTCTCATTAGAAGATCTGTCCTTGATAAGACAAGGTTTTCAAAGGTAGACAGTGAGTTGAGACATCTCTGGGGTTTTTTTTAATCTTGTTTTTTATCAGAGCTCTTATCTAGACTCACTAAACCTGTTTTCATGCAGTGGTGCAGATGAGGATTGACATTTGCTTTGCAAGGGTCAGTTGGGTGTTTTTAAAGCACAGTAGTTCATAGTGTGCTATAGGACATTAGCATAGCTAGTGGGGTTGTTCTGGACTGTGTTAAGTAGCTTTATGTCTGTAGTTCATGAAAGTGATAATAATTTTTAAGGTCTGTATAGTTGCTTAGGTTAAATTTTAAATTAGTATCCTAAGAGTGTTAATCTGAAAGGCGATTTCTCTCTTTTAAGAAAAACCTGCTTGTTACTCTTACAGGTATCCTCCTAAATGGCTTTAGCTCATGTGGTATTAAATCAAAAGGGATTTAGTATTATACCAGGGAGAGCTGGGTCATCCTTGCTTTAATGCTTCTTTACAAGAGAATCTGGGACTTGTGTCACAGGGCAGTTCCTGCTCCCCTGTTCTGTGCTAAAGAGGTACAGAGGGCCGTGTCTGAGCTGAAACGATGGGTTAGGAATTGCTGGAGATGCTCCAGTTGTCTCTTTTGCCAACTAGAGAGGTCCTGTCGCTCACCTCTTTGGGATGAATTAAGGCAGGTTTAGATGCTGAGGCAGCTGGCGGGCCTTGCTAAAGAGTCCCACCAACCCAACAGTGCTCTGTAACAACAGACACCTGCAAGAAATCTGCAAGTGCTGTTTTAACAGCCCTGTGATGTGGATTTTCCCCTCTGCTTCTATGTGTTTGCATTTTCACCATGCTCAGCAGCACAGTGGGTTGGCTTTGCAACTCACCTGCCCCTCCTGGTCATGTGGCTCTTGGTTATAAAGACAAGAGAAAGAAAAATACTTGAAACACGCATTGGGAAAACACAAAAATTAGTAGAAACTTGAGCAGATTTAGTAAGTGACTGTATTTTAAATTATCTTCATTTTGAATCACATAGTACAAGGCTGATTAAAAAATGGAATAAATTTTCAAAGTGGATTGGAGTGGGTAGTTTAAATTACAGGTGTGTGATAATGCAGGCTTGGTTCAGTGCAGTCCTAGGAAAGCTCCTGTAATAGATATAAAGATTAAATTAGCAAAACAAAGCAGCACTAGTAACAGGAATTCACAGATAGCATAACTTTATGCCATAATGCAAAAGCACAGAATATAAGCCTTGGGATGAAGCATAGGCTTTTTTATAAGGCTTTTCATCAAACTATGAGGTTTAGAGCAGTATTTGTGTAGTTTAATGTTTGGTTATTGAATTTGTTTTAAAGAGTGTGTTATGTGAGGCTTGGTTTTAGTACATACACTTCCAAAGTAAACACCACAAGCACTTTACAAGAAATAGGGTTCCAAGAAAAACGGTGAGGCTTTTATAAACACCATTAGCTTTAAATAGAAACTGATCTGTGTGACAATGTTTGGTTTGCACAGCAAGTCACAGGAACCCCAATGTTTGCACTCACTGCTGCACAAACCTGTATTCCTGTTGCTGCTGCTTTTCAGACCATCGTGGACCCCGTGGATCTGCAGATCCTGTGGCAGCAGGAGCAGGAGTGAGTGCAGGGCAACAGTTACCTGTGTTGCTGGCTGAGATGTGGGAATGTTGCCTCCATCAGAAAGGCAGGAACCAACACCATGATATTGCTGGTGAAAGCTGCCATATGGTACTGTTTCTGTGGTGACCAGTTTCTCAGTAACTGTGGAGTAGGAGCTGTGCATGCTGCTGTAAGACTTATCTCACTGTTTCTTGGAGAAGGAAGGCTGAATATGCAAAGGGCTGAAGAATAACAGTGAAGCAAAACTGAAAACCTTGGTTTATGATTGTTTTATTAGGCTAGCTTTGTGAAAATCTCTGATTTTGCTGGTCGAGTGAAGAACTAAGCCAAGTGACAGAAGTATCTGTTTTAAATTACATGCTGTGGCTCAGCCAGCATCAGGGCCAGATTTTGAAAATTCTCACTAATCCTCTATTTGGTAGGTGCCAGTGTTTTCAGAGTATCTAGGCAAACTTCCACCTCTTCCAAGGGCTTTGATCATTCCTCCACTTCATTTTTCTGCAATGTGCTGCACTTTCAGCAGCGTGTTTTGCTGTGGATTATTAGCTGTATAGGAGCTAAAAGCCAGCTTAAATCTTGTTGATGGTGGAAAATTTTTTTATGTTGTCCTAATAATGCTATCTAACTCACTTAACTGTTAATTTGTATGCAGTATCTTTGAGAAGACTTGTCCTGAAAAAATTCGAAAACTTGAGTGTGGTGTTCACGGTAAAACCCCTTCTAGTTTCTAAGACTAGTGTTGTGAAACTCAGAATTTAAAAAAAGGAAGAATAAAAACATTTGAAGGAGGAGATAGGAGCTAGTTTTATTCTATACTTGATTGTCTTCTTTTCTCAGTCCTGTAGCAGTTTAAAAACAAAAAACCTTCTGGAAACCCAGCTGTAGCACTGAGGTGTTCAAAACTACATGGAAGTACTGGGGGATTACTTTTACAGAGCCATATGCAAATGTGTTGGGTTTGTTGTTTTGGTTTGTTTTTTTTCTGCCAGTGTGCTGACATCAGTTTTATGCATAATTTATGCTTTTAATAATAATTTTTTTTCTCTTCTCTCCCACCCAGCTTCTTCCCTCCGTTTGCACGTGCTTTGGAATAGTGGGTGTTTCAATCCTTGTAGGAGTTAAACCAACCTCCTGCAAACATGGCAGACGAGGACCTTATTTTTCGTATGGAAGGGATTGATAATGCCAGGACGACCACAGCGAACTCTGGGGATTATCTTGATGCTGATAGTGATGATGAAGACAATTATTTTATCTGTCCAATAACTGATGATCCAATTTCTGACAAGTCTGCCAGTACCAAAGTAGACAATTATTACAGCAGCTTAGCAAAAAGTGAGCAGTACAGTTCAAGCTCTTCTCCTAGAAGCTTTAGCTTTAAGGTAAGTATTGGCTCCAACCTTCAGTAAGGTTTTGGTTTTACTTTGCTGGCATGAGACATTCTCTAACTGCTTCACCTCTTGTAACTAACACTTTTCAATAAAAAAACACACTCTTTTTTTCCAGACCTGCAGTTAATTCCGTTAAGCCAATAGTCTGACACTGCCATGGAATTGCTCACTGTCCCTTTTAGTTCATTTACAAAGGTGGCGCGATCCAGGCAAGCGATTCACTGCCCTTCTGATCAAACTTTGACTGAGAGACTCACAAGATTATACACTTGTTGTAAGCTAAATTGGGGCCTGTCAGAGGATAATTTATTATGGATTTTGCTAATCCATAATATTTTTAGTTGGGCAAATAAAATTGTAAATGATAAATGGTAAGTTTTTATGTAGTAATTCCTTCTTAGGGAGCTTTTGACATGTTGGCTCTCATGCTTGGGCATCAAGTGTCACACTGGCAGTAGTTCTGACAGTGTACTCAAGCAGTATCTGACCTTTTTGAGATGAAGAGCAGTCATAGCATTGCAGGGAGGTCGAAAGGGCCATAGTTGGTGCTTCCTTGGCAGTGTGTCCTTTTTCACTGGGCTCCCTTGGCACAGGTCAGCCGAGGAAATGGAGCCTCAAGAATGCAAGTGACACTCATTCTGTAGCTTAAATAATCCAAATATACTCCATTTGTGGTAAACTGGCATGTCTCTTAGATTTTGCCTAGACTAGGATTTAATGTGTTTTATTAACACGTTTCTTATTGTAAATATTAACATTTATTTAATAGATACTCTAAAATCTCGGTTATGCCTAATGCATGCTTTATTTGTGAAGAGATAGCAGGGGGGTTATTTTAGTCAGATAACATATAAAGTAACACATGGAAAGTGAACCTGGCTTGTCTGCAGTAAGATTTTTACCAAAGGTAGTTAATAAAAACATTAAAAGGTACATATTCCTAGGGAAAGTGAAGAGTAAAAGCTTAGTATAGAAAGGGGACAGATGTTAGTGTATTCTATGCTAAGCAAGTTATGACCTGATAGGGAGCTTAGTCTTCATTTGTGTGTACATTTTAGCACATACTAAATACTTGCCTCTAGGTTTGCAATGCAAGTTCTGAGTCATATGGCCTGAGATAAAACTGATAAGGACTTCAGAAATTGCAATTATTTCCTCCTTCCTAACCTATCATTTTGTTTCTGCAGAATGTTTGTGGCTATCTTTGGTCTCCACAATGTCTAGTTTGGCACTGTGGCTCCTATCACAGAGAAAATGCTTTATGCTGAGATGTGGAGCAAGCAAGTCTCCATCTCCTGCTTAATCTGCAGGAATGGTGACTTCCAACACAGTGAAGCAAAGAGCCAGGACTGATAACATCCTAAACCCCCACAACCTGCTCTGATCACTCTGCCTGTCAGACTCCAAACCTAAAGGCAGTGTGGGCCATTGATAATGAAATGCAGAGACAGAAACTTGCTGTTAACCCTCTGCCTTTAAACAGGACTCAGCAGTGTTTAAGTAGCTAGTTAATAGGCAAGATCCTTTTAATGCATGCTTTCCAGTTTAAAAAATTGCCAACTTACCTCAATAGGTTTGTTCACAGATGTTCTAAGAGTGAACTTAAACTGGGGATATAAACTGAAGAGTGGCTTTTAACTGGAAACGGGTTTTTTTAACTAACAAAGAGAACCAAGACTCTTTGTCAATCATTTGTCTTATCACATGTATTTTCCTGCTTTCATGTCTCTCATGGATCCTTTAGAATGACACACAGCATCGTTCTAAGCATGGCTCTGTGGTTGACCATGGTCGGGTAGGTTAAAAAAGAAATGTGAACACCATATCTAATAGATGAATTATGATTTTTTTTTTCCTTTTACGGACTTTTTTGTTCATTATATTATTGTCTGGGAGAACTGCTTGCCTCAGCCCATAAAAGTCATTAAGTCAAAACTAAAAAAGATACCTGTTAAATGAAATAATACCCATCTTTTGTTCTCTGCCCTGAAATGTCTCTGTGTGGCAGCCATATGCCTCCAGCAGGAGAAAAATTGCACTGGTAGCACCATTTCCAATTTCTCTTTGTTTGAAGATCAGAATACAGCTTTTGTACAAAGCACCTCATGAGATCATGCACAAGTAATTAACTGATTTAAGTTACTGCCTAGCATGGACACAAATCACCTTTTGGAGCGGGAGTCTGCTCAAGAACGATTTGACACTGATGGTTCACTGAGCAATTCTATTTGTTGCTGTCTCTCCCTATTTCTGTCTCATGTATTTAAGTGTGGAAGTTCTCAGGTCCATGTGAAATGTCTGTCATTGCACGACCTGAGGCAACTTCATTTGCTTATGAAACATAGGAAATCTTTCTCAACATGTCCTTTAAACTTGTTTTATTTATTATAGTATTGTGTTCGTTTTATGGTACTCTTTTCAGAAAGGGGAGCATTTGAATTGTTTGCAAGGTATGCAAAGTTACAGCTGAAATTCAGAATAAGCATGAACAATTTAAAAGCTCAGCTGCTTCAAAAACTTCCTTGATGTCATTGCTGACCCAAATTTGTACTGTAGGGTTTTTTTAAATTGACTGATTTAAATTCCGGAGGGGGGGGGTGGGAATTCCCAAATTTTAAAAGTTGCTGTTTCTGCACACTTGAAATTCAAAGAGACAGTAGCAATACCTCAGGGCCCAGTATTTCTTTACTGATGGGGTACAGAGTGCTTTTTCTCCTGCTCACCTTGCAGAAGGCATTTGGCACATCACAGGTTTTCTTGGAAAAATACAATGTAAAAAGAGGGAGATCAGAATGTTAAGAGAGAAGCATCCAAATTGACTGGTAGAGGAAGACTCTGGATATTCCAGAAAACTACTGATGTTGTACTGTTGACTTGGTGAACAATGAAGTAGCTACTTGTCTGGAATTGTTATAATAATAAATTTATACAACATTCTAATTTCTTCTTTCTTATACTGAGCACAATCTGGGGCCTTGGGGTTCACAGAACTTTTTTCTTTGTCCATATTAGCTCTGTTGCTAATGGACTTTTTTATGCTTACACATATGCATGCTGTTAGTTACGAAAAGTTAAAAATCAAAACAGTAAAAGTGAATTCCTATCATCTGGATGTGCATTATTGCTATTTGCAGTATGTGCTGGAGATATTTGCAAATTACCACAGGTTTGATAAATTATATTTGGTATATACTGTACCAGATTCTGTTCTCAATAACTTCACAGCAGTGCAGATTGAACTGAAACCTGATGATTTGTATCCCTGAACTGTGTTTCATTATAACTGAAACTATAAAAGGTCAGAGTGGTCTCTGGTACGGCTTAGTCCCTGCTCTGAGTAGTGCTTTGAGGGCTTGTGTAGTTGCACATCTTCCTAGCATGAGGATCCTGATTTGGTCTAGAAAATGCTGGTTTTGTGAGCTGCTGGTGATTATAAATAAACTGCCAGTTTGTAACTTCTTCAGGAAACCTGGAAACATGCTATTGAGAAAGCCAAGCACATGCCTGATCCATGGGCAGAATTTCACCTGGAGGATGTTGAGACGGAACATGCCACTCGTTACAGGTCTGTGGGTCTCTGGATGCTGATGTTAAACACAACTGCTGGTTTCTGTGTTTGTGTAGTGCAGAATATCTGTAATTACATGGCTGAAAAACTTTCAATAATACCCAAAGTGAGCGTGTCTTAATCTCTCAGGAGTATGTAAATACTGCCCACCAACAGAAAATAAACCTTTCAGCAAACCAGTGTCACACTCTTTCTCTCCCACCTAAGTAGTATCTAGGACTTTACCCATGTAGACAGGAAACAAGGCTGAGAAGTATTGTCTAGTTGATTTATTAGTGCTATAAACGTAATCTAATAAGGAAATGAATTCCAATAAAGGGGCAGCATACTTAGTTTAAATAGTTTAGAAAAAAAAAAGCAACATAACACTCCATGCCTTTCCCAAAATAGCAGTTTCAGTGTTACCAGTCCATGCAGTATTGTTGCATGTGGCTGGAATTTAAATCCTTATAAAGCCCAGAATAGCTCAGCATGGTGTACGTGCAGAAACTGAGTTTGGCCATTAAACTGGTTTTAGTGCTTTAACACAAGCTCTGCCAAAATATTTACTCTGCTGACACAGGTTTCTGGGTGGAAGGGGTAGGGGTTAGAGACCAGTTAATCACCACTTAGCATCAGTGTTGGGGAGGCCTCCCTTCCAATCACATACCACTGTCATGCAGTGCTGCTCTTCCCCACAGACTGCATCTGTCCCTGGTCAGCCACACAGTCCTGAAATAGTTTGCAGATTTTAAAATACAAATAAGTGGTAATATTGGTTTAGGACTACTCAAATACCCTGTTAAAAAGAGGTAGCTCTGATATTTCCACCGCTTTTATCTGCTGCAGACTGGGGTGATACAGTACTCAGTGCAGGATGGGGGAGTCGGGCTGGAAACAATCATGTGTTGGTGACTCAATTGCTGTGGTTCTTGATTTGGCTTTTACTGTGTTGGGAGTTAAGGGGGTGGGAAGAAACCACAGTTGTAGTCTTTGTATTATCACAGGGTTGTGCAGGGACTTGCTCCTCCCTCAGTGCAGTGTTGGGCAGTTCTTGGGCCCCCTGCTTCTCACAGCTTGTTCTGCTCACATCCTCGACAGCCCGGAGGCAGACTCTCAGCCAGAACCAGCTTTATGCAAGCTGAGGTTTGGGGAACACAAACTGTCCAGTGGGTAGAGCTTGGTAAGGCTCTTTCTGCCCCCAGTGTGCTGCCCAGGCATCACAGAATAGGCTTAACTTCAAAGCAGATCAAGCCTGATTTGTAGTGTTGCAAAAGTATAGCTTCTGCAGTGCAGTCTGTTCACTGTCAGGAGGATTCAGTGTCTCTTCAAAGAGTTAATCGTGTTTCTGCTTTCCTGTCTGAAGCAAGGAGGGCCTGACTGTGGTGGGAAGATTAGAAGCTTTTGTGCTGGAGTGGCAGCAGCACTTTGTAGCGTTCAGTTGCAGATAAGGAAGGATGGATGTTGGGAATAGGAGGATTTGGGGTCCCTCTGCATTTTTCTGAGACAGATCTGATTTTGCAGGTACAATGCAGTTACTGGGGACTGGGTTGAAGACGAAGTCCTTATCAAGATGGCTGCACAAGTAAGGTCACACTCTCCTTCGTGTTCATTAACAGCAAGTTTGTAATTCTTTTCTGTTCCAGAATAGTGGCAGCAAGATGTTTTCCTCATAGACGTTTTGAAGTCTCAATGTAACTCATTTCTCCCAACTCTGTTTCCTTGGCTTATTCATTATGTTGTGGTGTCCCAACAGCCTTTTGTCCCCGGAGTAGAGTAGAAAATGGAGTCATCCCTTCCCTGTCAGCAACGTGAGGCATTTGTTCCATTTCCAGTGCTTTCCCTTCCATTTCACCACTCCCATTTCCTGCTGGCATCATTTCCCTGCCTGGCAATAGTCCTACTATTTTATGTGCATCCAAATAATATCTGCTCTCAGAATGAAAACCCAGTGAATTTTCTGTATGTGAGGTAGAAGCTGCTGTCACTTCCCAGTTGCATCCTGGGGTTGGTTGTGCACTACTGGCATAGTGTCTGACATCTGGGGAGATGATGATGCTCTGCTGGGCACATCCTGTGTGGAAGCCTAAATGCAGAGAGCATGAGGTGTGCAAAGCCAGCTTCTCTAGGCAGTCACACGGGGCTGATTCCCAGCTGGAGAGAGAATTTGAATAACTTATTTGAAAGACATATCATATTTTCTCCACAGGATATTGAGGGGGGCTTATTCCAAGTGTCTTTTCCCCAGATTCCTCTTTACACTGCCAGTGGGTTTTCATTTTTCTTTGAGAAGATATTTTATAGAACCTGTTTGAAAACTGCTTTCTGCAGGACATAAAGGGGGGAAAACATGGTTGTGTCTCTTAGTGGTTAGAAAAGAACTTTGTGGAAATGGCAATGCTGGGTTTTTCTTTTTCATTTCCGTAGCCTTTCGGCCGTGGAGCGATGCGGGAGTGTTTCAGAACGTAAGTATCTGCTGACTTTATCTTCCTTGGCCTCCATGCAGTATTTTCTTCTGTGGTGACTGGAATTTCACTTTGGTGTGGTGGAAATTTTGTAAAGCTCTCGAGTTCATGTGAGCTCTCTTGGAGGCAAAATACTCGTAAAAGTACAGAAACAGTGTTCCTGGTGTGCTAAAATATCTGAAAATCTGATATGTGGCCATAGGTGTGTGCAGCCTAGAGACCAACTTGAGGCCTGTAGTTGGGCAGGGAAAAGGAGAAAAATATTTGTATGGTGCAGACTGAATTTGGAAAGCCTCCATCAGTGAAGAATGTTATCCTCCTAGAGTTTACTTTGGATTACACGTATCAGAGTAATCCTATTCTGAGTAAAGCAGAACTTTAACAGCTGTGCTTTCCAGAAGGGTAAAGTATGGGGGAAGACAGAGGAGGAACTTTTATTTCCTTGGAGGGTCTTAGCAATTGTTGTGGGCATCAGCATCCAATTTGTGCTAGAAGAATATCTCACCCTTTTCAGGCTCTTGAAAAAAAATGTTTTCTGGAAAATGTACATGTGTGTGTTTAAGAACATTTCCCCTTCTTTCCAGCTGTGGAATTCAGAGAAATTGCATTTCATATCTGGTTTTGCTTCTGGAAAGATAGATAATCCTGAATGACAGAAACAGTATCAGTTCATGCTTGTGGTTGTGTTTGTGCAAAGCCACAGAGATACAGTGGTGAATGAAGCCTGGGAAGTAACAGCTCTGAGCCTGCTGAGGTTGCTGCTGACATTGCTTTTAGCTCTTGTTATTTTCCAAATTCCCCATTACACAATATTTTGAGAAATGCCATAAACAGAAATTTGTTAGCAGCTTTGCTTTAACCTCTTATACAAAGAAAGCATAACTTGTATGTCAGCTTCCCACTGCTGGATTTTCTAGAAGTCTCAGTGGTGCACTGATAAATCCCATCTGGAGCTCTCTCTTCTAGGTTTTTGTAACTCTGCAAGTCTTCAGTTATGACAGTGACAGCATTAGCTGCACGTGGCTCCATGAACTTCAGAGGATACTGGATTTAGGAGAACATCAGCTACCTTGTTTTATAGAGAGGAGTATGTTCCTTCAAGAGCTGGGGAGGTTCAGATCCTGGCTGAAATTCTGATCTCACTTCCTTGTTCCTTCTTTCCAAGGCCTCTGTTCCAGCAGCTGTCTGCCCATCCCTGCAGGAGCACAGACAATCTGAAGTTGCTTTGCCTGTAGAGTGTCCCCTGTACCAAGACCTCTGCACCAAGGTCTTGGGAGGGAGAGAGGAAAGGAAGGAAGGGAAAGGGTTGAGAGTTTGAGTGCTGCCAATAATTAAGGTACCTGCTTAATGCACTTGTCAGCCAGCAGATCCACTGTTAGTTTTCCCGTGCTCCACACCACCCCCTCCTTGCTTTTGAGGGATCTGTGGATTAAAGATTTGCACATCAACAAAAGGTAAAAGTTACATCAGAAAAAGCGTCAGGTGCAGTTTTCCTTCTGGGAACATGGGGGATAATCACTGCTGTGTGTTAAGAACACGGCAGTTTGCTTTTATTCCAGGAGAGGTTTCTCTCAGTTCATGTTTGAAATGCCACTCCCTGTTAATTTATGCAGAAAATAATTGTTGACATTAGAACACGGTGTTGAGGTGGCAGCAACCCTTCATACTCTTGGTTTGAGGGAAAGGGATTCAGAAAAGGAGGAAGTCCAGAGTAGAACTAGCTGTAGCCAAACCAAACAGTTTGGCATGTCCCAGCCATTCCCATGGAACATTTAATTTTCCCTTGTCCCTATCTCTGCTTCATGTTTCAGCCGGAATATCTGGTAAATGATTGAGGGTAATGCTGATCTTGAGGCCTGGCTCTGTCCATGCAGGCAAAGAAATGACAAAGATTGAAGTAAATTTTTTGGGTTTCCTTTCACCACCAATTTGTGTTTCAGGAAAAAGCTGTCCAACTTCTTACACACACAGAACTGGAAAGGTGCCTATAACTATGTTGCCAAGCAATACATAGAGAGTGTGAGCAGGGATGTGTATTTTGAGGATGTCCGACTGCAGATGGAAGCAAAGCTCTGGGGAGAAGAGTACAACCGGCACAAGCCACCGAAACAGGTACTTTCAAAGTGCTGAGCAAAAATGCAGCCTTGCTCTCCTACAGGATTAGTTTTCAACTGAATTTACAAGGAATTACTTGTTCGCATTCCATTAAATTTAAAAGCCCTTTAACTTCTCTTGCCCTCCTGTGTTTTCCATTAAATGATAGTTTATTTTGAATGAAGTAAATGCAGAAATTGCTTTACATTTCCAGAATTAGGGGCTGTGTTTGTGAATGTCTCAGTGTTCTCAGCTGTCGACTGGAGACCAAGATAAAATGGTGTTTGTATTGCTCTTTGAGATGTGTGCCCAGCTGCTTTTGAGATAACCAGAGATGTCACAGAATTTATTGCCAGCAGCAGTCTCAGCAAGCACTTAACTGTTAGTGCTCCAGGAAGGTAGATGCTTAAATCTTGTAGACCTACCCAAAAATGTAACTAGCATTGATTTTTAAGAAGAACTGGAAACCTGTTGGAAGTCTTAACAATTTTAATAGCCAAAATGAGTGCTTTTGAGTATGTGGGGTATGTGCACTGCCTCCCATGTGAGGGTTAGTTAATAACTACCTGTCTCACAACAGTGAGGTGAGGTATAGAGTGAAGCGCACAGAGAGGAGTCTGGAAATCTAGAAATTCTAAATGCCACATGGAGGAAAAGAAGTGAAAGAGTTGTGATAGTTTCTCCTTTAGGAATGTGTCTGGAACAGAGGGAGGAAGTAGGGCAGGATACAGAGATACCCAAGTGGTAGATACCCTCAGTCCTTCTCTGAAAAGGCATTTCTTCAAGTTATGCTGTAGTGACTCTGTGATTTCCTCTCTGGTACAGACTCTTTGCAGTGCACTCTTAGGGTACCCACAAAATAAAATAGAAAGCCAGCACTCGCTAAGAATTTTTCAGAGGGATTTGTTGCAGGAGTGAACTGTTTTGTAGTGTCTGCTTTTAATTTGTGGAATTCCTCCAATAGCCCAAGAAGAATGTGACTCTTCCCCCACTCCCTTGTTAAACAGATGGATCTTTGGAATTGTTCAGCTTCTTGTATTGGGAAGGTTTTCCACAGCTGGAGGATTCACACACACTTTGATCTGAAGACAGTATTCTGTTAGTCATTGTTCATCTTCTTTTCTTCCCCAGGTGGATATAGTACAGACCTGTATTATTGAAATGAAGAATAGACCTGGAAAACCTCTCTTTCATCTGGAACATTACATTGAGGGCAAATACATCAAATACAACTCCAATTCTGGATTTGTGCGGGACGACAACATCCGTCTCACTCCGCAAGTGAGGCTTTGTTTAGTGCTTTCCATAAAGTCTGCTGCAGGGAATTTCTTGGCTCTATCCAGAGGTCTTGCATTACTGCCAAGAAAGGAAACTGTAGGCTCTCCAGTACAATGCCAAATTAATTTCTCTATTTGCAGTTTGTTGGCCCCTTCCTTGGGGCCTGCTCTTTCAAGCACTGGGTGCTGCTTTGTTGCGTTTCAGTGTCTGTTGTTTTTAGTTGAGTTGATAGGGTTAATAGTCTTTAGAAACTTTAAGCCCTTTGACTTTAATTATAACTGCAGGCATTGAAATATTTCAAGCTTTTTTCAAATTAAGGCAGAGAGAGAGATCTCTCGTGTATTATGTACTGAACAGGTTTTTTGGTGCCTCACATAATGTACAAAAGGAGGTGGCAGATATCCAACTCATGTAAATAACAAATCTAGGCCATTTGCACATAAAAAGGTGGGTTTTTTCAGCTACAACTTCTGAAGAGCTGAATCTGAGATTGCATGTAGAAATACAAGTACAGATTTTAAGTGATTCTTGGATCTTGTAAAAGAACTTTAAAATACTATTGAAAAATGCAAAGTGGTCAGTGTAGCAAAGGAATGTTTTACTGGGCCTTGAGAGTTTTGTTCATTGTATTTTTTTCCCCACTCTTTTTAAGGTATTTGTCATGATGCTTAATGTAAGCAGAGAATTTATGTTCTGGGCTGTCTGAATCAGTGCTGTGCTTTCACAGATTGGGAACAAAATGTTCCATGGTACTTGCTGCCGTTAAAATGTTTGTCTATCACCACCAGTTACTTCCCCCAGGCCTGGCAGCACTTCTTTGGAGGCCTTCCCAGAAGATTCCTAATATCTCAGCTTTATGCTGAAGAGAAGGGCTTTTTTACCTGATTCTTGAAATGTGTTTTTTGAAGAAGAGTACAAGTGTACACTTCATTATCTGAGGCAAAAATGTAGGGACAGAGCAGCCCTTCAGAGGGACCTCCCAGAAGGGAGGGAGAATTTGTGGCATGCTCATTTTTTTTCGAAATGTGGCTGATATTTGCTTATTGGCAGAAGGAAGCACGGTCCCAGAGATGCAGAGCTTGCAGATCCACAGGCACCGCCAGAATGTTTATACAGAAGTTATTCTGCACTGGCTTCAGAGACCACTGTTGTTCCCTCTAACAGCCAGCTCCTCAGTCCCGAAGGTGAAGACTGTAGTGGGAAACAATTTCTAGTACAGGAAGGAGGAACAAAGCAATCTCCTCTCCCTTACCTGTGTCCGCTGCTGTTTTTCTCCCTGCCTCTTTTAGCCCACCTCCTAGATGGAGCAGGTTGGAGAGACAAACCACTATGTGCTTTTAGTCTCTTGCTGCTTTCATCATGATGTTTATACCAGTTACATTTCACTGCCAGGGTTATCAGACTTCCCATTTATGAAGGTGAATATCTGTTGCTGTTTTCAGTAGGTCAAGGAAGAGTGTTCTCAGACATCTTCTATGGTTCTTTCCAGGCCTTCAGTCACTTCACCTTTGAGCGCTCAGGACACCAACTCATTGTTGTTGATATCCAGGGAGTTGGAGATCTTTACACGGACCCTCAGATCCATACAGAGAATGGTACAGACTTTGGAGATGGCAACCTAGGTAAAATCAGCGATCTGTTTGACATGCTATGGATGCTTAGTTTCTGTTCCCAGCTCTCTGCTGAGTAGGCACTGCAGGGCTGGGTCAGCTGGCACGTTTCTGAAGAAGTTCTGTTATGAGGAGTCCCTGAACAGGGCAGCTGTCACGCAAGGGCACATTTAAAATGAGAGCTGATCTTGGCTCGTGTCTCCTGGCCTGCTCTGAAATAAGTAATGAAATTAAGTAGCTTCCTGCAGTGTGAGAGCGATAATCATGGCCTTTAATTTCCTTGCCACATTGCAGGAATGGATACAGCTGAATGTGGAGAGGTAAGCGCTGCATATTTTTAAATCTGCAAGTGTCTATACATGAAGCTGTTCATAGGACAGAGCAAGCTTTGTAAGCAGGATCAGATTTAGGCATGTTTCTCAGTGATACAGCCAATTTAGTTTTTTATTGTGTCTTCTGCATATATAGCTTTTGAAGATTTTTGAGACTTCCTTTAACTCCTGTGCAGAGAGAGTGGAAAGCTTTTACAGGTGTTGAAATAAAATGGAGGTGGGTTGAGCTATATGTGCTCAAAGCATTTTTTTCTCTTTCTTTCTCTTGACTTTTTAGAAAAAGCTTTGAGACTTCTGGCTTGTAATAAGTGAACTGTAATATAAAATTCAGGTAAACCCTTTCTTCACTTTTTTTAATGCTGTAGGTGTTCGAGGTATGGCCTTGTTCTTTCATTCTCATTTCTGCAACAAGATCTGCAAGAGCATGGGACTTGCACCATTTGATCTTTCATCCAAAGAGAAAAATGCCTTGGATTATAATAAAAAATTGCTTGTAAGTGAAAAGTGTAACTAAGCAGTACAGCTAGTTTATCCTCACTTCAAAAGCCCTGTAAATAAAACTGAAATACGCTGTTTACATGGAAAATAAAAAGCACCTAATTGCTAATGTTGCAGTTTAAATACAGCAGTTTAGAGCGGACTTGTTCATACTTGTCTCTGAATTAATGCTGTAGCTGTAATTGAAAGGAAACCTTATAACATGGTGTATATTTAGGACCACATAGGTCTTTGAATGCTGAAATCATTGATAAGTTTTGTATCTCACAAGCCTGCTTGTCTTTAACTAATCTCAGTTTCAGCTGATTTTAGTGGGAATGGGACTTGATGAAACGCTTTGAATGAAATTCAGTCCTAAACAGAACTCTCTCTGACTGTAAAAGTGGCAGGACTTGATATTTTGTTGGGACATAGAACTTCTCAAAACAAATTCTTCTGTATCCATTGGTGTATTTATACCTCCTCTTCGATAGAGGACTCCTGATAAACATCCGTGTTGGCTTATGTGGCACAATTAGAATACACAGAAGGGTTATTCACGGGACTTTGTTGTTGATTTGCCCAGGAATCTGCTCAGACCATCCTCCGTGGCACCGAGGAGAAGTGCGGCAGCAGCCGGGTGAGGACGGTGTCCGGCAGTCGGCCCCCTCTGCTCTTCCGCCTGTCCGAGAACTCGGGGGATGAAAGCATGAGCGACGTGGCCTTTGACTCCCTGCCCTGCTCCCCTTCCTCAGCAACCCCTCACAGCCACAAGGTGGACATGCTTAGTGAGTGAGCCTCATACGTCACCTCTGGGGGGTTCCTGAACGTTGGACAGGGACTCAGTCGATTTTAAACCCGACAGCATATTGATTTAATCCAGAATACTTGTTTCTAGTGTTCCTAAAACTGAAAGGACTTCTTTGTAGCTAATTAATGCATGGATGCTTCTGTGAAAAAACAGCAGTAAAATAATGTCTAGAGCTTTCTCCTCAAGCATGTTGTCGTTACAGTAAGCAAATATTTTTCTTCCTAGATTGGCCTGTGTTCAATGAAGTAGATAACTTGGTTCACAAAGACTATGATCAGCTTGATAACCAAAGGGTGAGTGTCTTTTCAACAGGAAATGAGGTTGCAGTTCCCTAATGAATGTGTCTTTAAAGGACTTCTCAAAAGCTTTGTGCAGTAAAAGCACATAAAGGTGCTCTGCCTGCTTTCATTGTTGCAGCTCATGTTGCCTTCATGCATTTGCTGTTTCTAGTAAAGGAAGAACATTTTATTTTAAAATAGTATTCATTATTCTTTTTCCATCAGAAATTTATTTTCATCTGATGTATTTTAACAGGTAATTAAAGTGTGTGTCTGTTCCCCTGCCTGCATGTTGTGTCTTGGGCACTTGTGCCAAGTGTTGTGGTATGAAAACTAAGCAGAAACCCTATGGATTAGTCCTTTGCAAATCCTGTGGGATGTTGCAGAACCTCACCTGAGGAGATGCAAGAGGTTCGCAATGGACTTTTTCCAGTGCTGGACCTTAGTACCAGTTACTAGTTTTTTTAACTGAATACTGAAAACTGTATCTAGTGGACTCTTGACTTGATAAAATATGCGAGTCTTTGATTTATTTTTTAATGTATTTATTTTTTATATATATGTAAGAGAGAAGACAGACAGTACCTTCTGTATCGTTAAGTCTTGTTCTGTCTGTCAGAGGTAGCACAACATTACCATCATTTTCATCCTGTATAACCATCCAGTATTTTTCACTGAACCAGCAAAAGGTTTGCTCTGTGGGAAATGTCAAGCTGAGATCCTTACAAAGGATAGTGCTAATGCTGTTCTGTTCTTGTGTTCTGTAGGATTTTGAAAATGGTGGAGACAGTGGATACCCCAGTGAAAAGAGAAGTGAGATGGAAGATCTGGATCATAGAGAAAGGGTGAGAACCTGACTCTGGGTTTAGCAGAGTTGGGCCTGTTCATACTTGAACTGTTTTCATAGAAGAATCTTATTTTTTATCCCTCTTGATCTAGGCTTTGTAAACAAAGGAACAGACAAATTTCCGTGTGTTGCAAAATTACTTATTCACCTTGGGAATGACAGTTTTACAGGAAAAAGATGATTTGTAATGAGGAGCTTAATTTCAAACATCGTATTTGATTACATATTGTTGTGGGGTTTTTATTATTCTGTATTGCATTTGGAAAATGTAGCCAGCTTCTTGTCCTGTGGAACCCATGAACATGATCTGCTTTCAGCCTCTTACCCTGTCTACTTTATATGGCTTGAATATCACAGAACTTAATGTTGTTATCAGTTAATAACGTGCGACTTTAGAATCCCTGTGGGTAAGCTGGTTACTCCTTTAAAATATAAACTGTTAAATAAATGCTTTTTGACCTGAAGATCTTCACAAGATATTTAATTAGACGACAGGAAAGAGAATACTGCTTCAAAAGATACCAGTCCTTCTGTCACCTGTGAAGGTATTTGTCATGGCATCTCCAGCTCACAGGATTAAAGCCTGTGTGTGCCATGTTCTTTACCATTTTGCTATGCTTCTTATCACATTGGGATATCCCTGAAAGAAAAGGATCCAGTGGAATCGATTTTGGTCACGGTCAGTATTAATTCTGCTGGATAGGAATAGTCTAGAGGGATAACTGGCACACAGCAGTTGCTGCAAATTAAATGATGTAAATCTTTACATTAACGTAGGGCCATTCAAACAACATCCGGAGACAGGAGTCTGATGAAGACAGTTTGGGAAGCTCTGCAAGGGTAAATAAAGCAGAAATGTTCATAGACTCAGTCTGCTGCTCTGCTTGTCCTTTGTTCCACTCATCTAACCACATCACTAAATCAGATTTATTTTCCCTCCCTTTTCAGCTACAGAATATGTTTATTAATATCAATTTATCACTCTGTATTGTTTCCTTTTTTGTTTTGTCTTTACTTTCCAGTTAAAGAAGTACTGTTAAAGAAACTGTCACCTCTGTAACTGATCCCTGACATAAATTAGTGATTATGCATGGGTTTCTCACTTAAAAATAATAATTACAGTTCTGTGGATTTTTTTCCTGTCTGACTAGATTATAATTCCTTTCTGTACTTCATTTTTGGAATTGCATCCTATATGTGGTTGTATGATTTCTTGAAAACATGCAGTGTTTGAAATAGGTGACAGTAGCTGTGTCCACTGTGTATCTCACTGAGCTAGGGAAGACCAGGCCTTCTTGTACGTTTTTACAAAATATAACTTCTGTGGTAATTGGTCTGTGGCTGTAAACTTAAACAAATAACTACTCTGCAAGGAAAGAAAAAACAGCTTTGACAACAATGATTTATTTAGATACACTTTTCAGAATTTCCTTGTAAATATTATATATTGCTGTTTTAGGAAATTGAAACAGCTTTAACAGAGTGGGGTTCTTTGCCAGTAACCTTCCCTGTTGTGCTCCCCTGTGTACCTCCAAAGACTTTCATTTTGATAGGATTGTTTTCAGCTACTGTTTCCCACCCACCAGTTGTGTTGAAAAATTTATTCTCATTTGTGTTGCACCTCCTGAGAAACAGCAATGCATGTATCTGCCTGTCATCTTCTGCATTGTTACTTCTCATTTTTCTAGAGCTCTGGAATGCAAGCAGCATTTAAAGTGCTGTGAACTGAAATTCTGATCATAAATGTGTGGGTTTAATTTTTTTGTGCATGGATAACAGTATGTGCAGTGTGACTGTTCAGTTGCTTATTTGTATAAGTAACTTTTTTTCTGATTCAGAACTTAAAGAGGATTCTTTGCTTCATTGCAAAGTGATGATGTTTGGATTAGAAAAAGAGGGCTTTACTCTGTTTCTTTAGTGATGAATAATAACCCTTTATTCAGCTACTAACATGACTTTTGAAAGTCGTGTCTCAAATTACAGTATTTACTAAGAAGTAGCAATATTAATGAAGGCTTTGATTTCTGGATGGCAATCCATATATATGAAAATTTTAATTTTGCATATAAATAATAGTTTATTTCATATTTCAGATCAGTGTGGAGAAATGGAATTTGTACAACTCTTCCAGAGTTCATGTCCACAGACCATCCTGTGTTGCCCAAGAAATTCAGAGGCTCAATGCACTAGAACTTGAAAAGAAAATTGGGAAGTCAGTCCTTGGAAAGGTAGGATGGGTCTAGTATTCCTCTTTTTTTCCAACTGGAAAGAAACATATTTATTACTTACATAGAGATGTTGCCCTGCATGAGTTTATTTGTGCAAGTGAAAATAAACACATCCATAGCTTTGTGTCCTCTAACCATACTGTATGAAGGACATCTTAGCTCAGGAACCCATGAGTTTCATCTGCTTTTGGACTTGCAGCAGCTGGGCTCCTTTGGGAAGGACCCTGCTGTTGGTTAGTCTGCCTTTCCAGAGGAATCATACAGGGAAGTTACAGTGGGATAATTATGGTGTGCCTGACCCACATACCTTGCACATAGGCAAGGCTGGGCTCCTGAAAAGTGATAGCATGGACCAACTCTTCTTACTCCAGAGTATTCAAGATAATGCAAATGTGAATTAAGTTTCGGTTTATGTATGGGCTTAAGCCCACACTTAAAACACGGTGTAGATCTTCCTGAACATCCTGAGAGCCTTAGGTATTCTCAGAACTCTTGGTTTGTGAAGAAGCCAATTTTTCCCTTGGGGAGGGAAGTCAAAAAGCCCCTCAAAATCCCATGGCATGTTTGGAATGAAATCCTGCCCCCCACTGATAATGAAGGCTTCAGTGGTGTGAGGATTTTACCCCTGATAGCCTTCATTTTCTGTGCCTCAGGTTAATTCCTCCCCTGGGAGGGCCCTTGCCGAGCACTGAAGTCTGTGCCCCACGGTCACTGCTGTTTGCCTTGCTGGCTGCAGTGCCAGGCAGTTGCAGGCTGGGTGCCCTTAACTGTGATTCCCTCCTAGAGCTCTCCAAGGTCCCAGCAGATGTGCCAGGGCATGCCCCTAAGACCTGGTAAAGAATGGACAGAAGGCTTTGGAAGGATCAGATCCATATGAAATACTTGTGCCTCTTCCCTGTGCAATGGTGCTCCAGGTTCACTTGGCCATGGTTCGCTACCACGAAGCCGGGCGTTTCTGCGGGAAGGACAAGGAGTGGGATCAGGAGTCGGCCCTGTTTCACCTGGAACATGCTGCAGACTGTGGGGAGCTGGAAGCCATCGTTGGGTTAGGACTCATGTGCTTTCAGCTGCCACATCACATTCTTTCTGAGGTCACTGTGGAGGTAAACACATCAAAGAAAATGCCAAAATGCAGATTAATGGTGCATTGTAAAAATAAGAAGAACAGGAAGTAGAGAGAAAACAGTCACCATAGTTAGGTGTTCTGTAGCCCCTCAGAGAAAATAGATGACTTTGTAATTAAGGACTTGGACAAAACAGCAAAAAATACTGCCTCTTTCTGGTTTTGCCAGGAAATTACTGCTTGCCTTTGGGAAGTTTCTGAAGTCATCTTCACTGTTCAGCTGCTTTGTTTCTTGTGGCTGTGCCTGTTTCTGTTTCTCAGACACACTAAACACTTCCAGCCATTACTGACATGGAGAAACTGCATTTAGTGTTAGAAGGAGGAAGGGATAGTTTTGCTTAGAAACATGCATTTGAAAGGTTTTGTTTGTTTTACCAGGACACAAAGGAGAACAGAAATAAAGGATTTAATTACTTGCTGAGAGCAGCAGAAGCTGGAGACCGGCCTTCCATGATTCTGATAGCAAGAGCATATGATACAGGTGTAAATCTTGCTGCAGACAGGTATGTTACTTTTAATTAAGGATGATTTTAAATTTTAAGAAGTTTTAAAATGCTGTTACCTCAGTAAGCCCCTCTTAATTTGACCTTCCAAAAGGCTATATGGTAGCCTTTTGAGGTATTTTTTTTTTAGCATTTTAGTTGAGTTTTTAAGTGGACAAATGTTTACTTCCTTAAGTACCAAATATAACAGGTACTTAATAGTGGTTTTTCTAGTTTTGTATTTTAGCATGTCCTTGTTATTTACATGAGTTTTCTGTTTTGCACAACAGTGAAACTTTAAATTTCACCTTTGCCAAACAACATTACGCTTTTAATTGAAGTGCACTGAGCATTCTCAATATGAAAATCACTGATTTTAAAGTATTTATGAAACAAGACTGTCTGCAAATTCAGATTTTTTTCTAAATCAGTTACCTTCACAAATATAAATGCCACACCAAAACCACTGGTAATGAAGCTCAGATTCTGGAGTTCAGCAAAACATTTCAGTCTGATACTTTTTCCTCTCTAATTCCTGCATAAAGTGACCCCAGCCTCATTTTGCTGTAGTGACCTGATGCTGCAGTGCAGTTAGTGAGCCTCCATGAGAACGTTTGCTTTCTTGGGAGCATCAAAGCTGTGAGAAGTCAGTGCAAAATTGGATTCTGAATCTCCAGTGCAAAGTACATTTGTTGCCTAAGGGAACCATCTTCAAAAATTGTGTTTAACTTCAGAGCCCAGGACTGGAAGGAGGCCCTGCACTGGTACAACGCTGCGCTGAACATGACTGACTACGATGAGGGAGGGGAGTATGATGGCACTCAGGATGAGCCCCGCTATCTGCTCCTGGCCAGGGAAGCAGAGATGTTAATGACGGGAGGGTTTCACCTGGATAAGGATCCACAGAGATCAGGTGAGGCCTTGTTTTGTTTCTATAATCAGTAATCCTACTTTTCCTTGCCTTTTACCCCAGCATGTACCCTAAAAATAGACTTCCTGCTTTATCTGGTACAAAACATCCAGGGGGTCAGCACCTTTGGATGCTGGCTGTAACAAGGCTGGAAACAGTGAAAGAACAGACCTTGGCAATGACAGGGGTAGTGGGTGGTGCCAGGTCCAATTATGTGACACGCTGAGTCACCACCAGGCAACCTTCACTGCCTTCCAAGTTGCTCTTTTGGGTCACTCCCCTCAGATGCAGGTTGCTGCTTGTATTTTGAGTTACACCCATGACTCCCAGCCCCTGCACGACATTCTCTTACTTGCTGTGTAATCTCCATGTTCGATGTCTGTGTCTTGGAGTCCTCTTGGGGCATCCTACAGGCCGGTCAGATTTCCAGTCCTTCACAATACATTGAAGAGCCATCAGCAGCCAGTCATACAACTTTAACCCAGATTCCCAGCTGATGTAACTCTGACACTATTAAAACACACCCACACATCCTGCCCTGCAGTTTGATCTCAATTTCTCCTTTTGTCCTTTATTTGCTTCAGGCTAAAGCAATGTTTTTCCTTTACTCTGTCAACATAACTGATCCTGTTTCCTCCTCTAGGTGAGCTTTACACAGAAGCAGCAGAAGCAGCAATGGAAGCCATGAAAGGCAGACTGGCAAATCAGTACTACCAAAAAGCAGAAGAGGCTTGGGCGATGATGGAAGAATGATGCTGAAATTAAGCAGTTCTTGTATATAAATTTTTTATAGACTTGCTGCATTTGCAGCTAAAAAGCTATATTTTTATGTGATGTTACCAGTTCCTTTTTTTGTATTTCAGTTTTCTAAGGTTTTTTGAGGGGAGAAATTAAAATGTAACTATGTAGAGTGCCATAGCATACTTCTGTTAGTGTTTTAAAGCTGTAATACAGACACACTTGACCTTTTGTACTTTTTTAACTGTTAGAGGGCTTAGTTTTTTTGATCAGAAAAATGAAGCCTTATTGTTTAGGTTTCACATGTCCTGTTTTTTTTCCAGCAAATGATCAATGTGTTTACATTTTTCTTCTCCTCCCCATGCACAGAAAAACATTTTCCTAAATTCTCAGCGTTTCTTCATCATTTTTGGTGTAACTCACCAAATTTGCATGAGTGTAAATTTTCAGTTTATGGATGCAACTACTGATATTAATAAGTAATCCCATTCTAGTATGCTGGCATTGTTGGACACTTCTCTTATTCTCAGATGAATTCCAGATAGAATCCTTACAGTTTGGGGAGGGGCGGGAAAGATGCTTCAGGTTGGCAATGAGGATGTTCAGGATGGAATGTTTTATTCATCACCAACACTGCATATCACACCATTAGAAAATCATTCCTGATGAGGCAAGGCATCCAGCTACCTCTCTCATTTTCACATTTTGCACCATATAATAGCTTAGTTGTATAAAATTCTATTGATCTTACATTTGTCCAATGATGTACAGTAGCAAGATCTGTAATATATGGGTAATTTGAAGTTATTTTTACAGTGGCATCTCAATTCTCAGTGAAGCTAGATCATCTCACTTAAAAGGAGAATATGCTTTCCACCATTTCCAGAGGGATGTTTGAAAAGGTTAGAAGATGTTAATTTGCCTTTTATATGTACAGAAAACAATTTATATGGTTTAAATATATTTTAAAATGGTATTTTATCTGAAAATGGTTTCAAATGTCAGTTAGAGGAAAATTGCTGGTTAAAAGGGGAGAACAGTATCATCCCCAAACACTTGTATCTTTGTCTGTTTGGTCCTGACCAGTAATGGGAGGACAACTACGTGGTGCTGGTTGAATTATCATTGCATAGAGAGACGTTTCTTCCAAATCTGGTATTTTATTCCATCTCTGTGGATAGTACAGAAGCTGTTCCTATTCCTTGGCTGTGGTTAACAGTAATTTTGCAGGAGATTTAAGGTGGAAGCTTCTGCTTTCTTGGCCTTACAGTCTCCTGAGGGTGTAAATTGATGTCCATAAGGGGCAGCCCCTGTCAAATGCTGAATAACCGAGAGTGCTCGCCGCTCCAGCCAAGCTGTTAAAAACATGCTTAAAGCTAAGCAGGCTGTGAGATGGTGCAGTTGAACAGGATTTCTTTCATGCATAGTCCAGTAATATTAATTTCTTGTAAAATGCAGAAACTGCTCAAGGAGCAGAAGTCAGTCCTCCCTTTCCTGTGCAGTGCCAGCCGCTGGGCTCAGGTTGTGCTCCCCGTTTTCTCTTTCTGGCAAGTGGATCTTGAATTACTGTCCAGACAATATCCAAGGATGATGTTAATAACAACTGCCACTGTCTGAAAGATCTCCTGCTCGTTAAGGGTGTGAGATAACAAGATTTGGACCCTTTCAAGGAGAGAAGGGAGCTATCTTTGGATGTTGTGCTTCTGGGTGGGTGCAGTAACCACCAGGCAGTTGTAGCCATGAGTAGTCTTGCAACACATGGCAACATCTTGCTGTACATTGCAGGGCTTGTGGGACAGTAGTGCCCACGGCCTTTTTAGTTTGTTTTTGTTTTGAGAGTGAAGGCAAAGCTCTTCACCCACTGATGGAGAAGTATCTAATTTCTAGATCTCAGTTGGTCTTTGGTGGTATTTAACCAAGGTACTAAAGCAACCAGATCTTTGGACCTAATATTTTTTGGACCTAAGATGGTGAAAAAGAACCAGAGTTTGTAGGATTGCAAATCAGATGAATGTTTTAAGTGCCTATCCAAAGTTCTGCTTCAGACACCTAAAGCCTCTTTGGGACATGGCCTTTTTTGCTATTTCAGTTCATAGCATTAAAATTCCAGCTGTGACCTTGAAAGACAGCTGAATAGTCTGTGTTTTGTGCAGAACCAATACAGTGTAGGCACTATAATGAATTCAGACAAAAGGATTTGTTTTCCTCATAAGGTGTTGATGCCAAGTCTTTGAGATTTTCCTTGACAAGGAAACGTGTGACAACACCACCAACCATGTAGGGAGGAGAGGAGACTAAAAGTGCCCCTCTAAAATGTGTATGTAAAGGATGTAGAGTGTAATTATTGACACATTTTGGTGTAGTTTAATTTGCTAAATTCAGTAGTTGCTAAAGTTGCTGACAGCTCTGTGTAGATCTGGTATGTAAATGTGCACACAACTCAGTGAAAAAATTACTATGATTAAATCTTTGTTTGCAAATACTACTTTTTAGTGATGAAGACTTCCTTCTGTCCTAAGATGGTGTCATATGATTTAGCCATACAATAAATGGGAGTGTCAATAATATGAAAATTTTTTATGTTTACAGAAATAACTGTATTCTGTGACATTTTTGAAGGGAAAAACTATATATTTGACAGACTTTTGCAGTGATATTGCTACATGCTGTATTTTTAATCTATTCACAATGAATAAAAATCTGTATTTGTACAAAATGTGAAAATAAATCTGAGGCTCAGCCTCCCAGAACTTACCCGGGTCTAGTGTTTCCAGATGTCAGTGGGAATATTGCTTGGGTAAGGACAGTGAGATGGAAGCCTTTGTGTGTCAGACATGCAAATACTGCCTGCCTGCATCACTTAGTCCTCTCATTCACTTTGTCTGGTTTCATTCTGGCTGGTCAATAAAATTGTTCTTTTTGTCACTTTTCTCAGTAGAGTTTTATTTTTTTGCATGTGGGGGTTTGCTTGTGGTTTTTTCTTTTATAATTTGCCAAAATTCAATCCTATTATTGCAAGCTTCCAGAAATTCTCTGTGTTGTTTGTATTATTCCATCCCTGATTTTGTTCACTTTCAACCATCCCAGTTACAAACCGGGAGGAAATAAATTAGATGTTGCCAACAAAATCTGTTTTTCTCAAGAAAACTGAAGGGTTGATGTGCTCTTTGATGTTTATTCGATTTCAGACTGTTAAAAATGGAGTTCTTTATGTTGCCTTTTTTTATTGCTTTATTTAGACAGGTAGAACTTATTCTACCTGTGTAGTTTAAACAGTATGAAATTATTCTCTAGCACAGGCACTGTGAAATAGCAGAATCTCCTATCAAAAAAGCCCCAGCTGGGCCTCTGCAGTGTAGAATCACTAAGAAAAATGGTGAAATTTGGCACTGCTATAGCTTTGTAGCCTTTGTAACCTTTAGCTATAGCTGCTGTCACAGAGAGCTGGAGTGTTTGGCAAGTGTAACAAAGGAAGTGGGAATAGCTTCTTCAAAAACCATGGAGACAGCCAACACTTAGAGCTTGCTTATACAGTGTAAATAAGAATATTGCCTGTTCCTTAATTACTGGTCTGGGGGACTGATTTGAATCTCGTTCTCTTCCCCACAGGTAGAATTCCACTCAGAGTAGAATGAGTGCTGACAGACACAGGTGTAGTTTAGATGGGCCAAAGCAGGACTTCTCATCTGAATTTGGAAAGGCAGAATTTCATTTGAACTTCAGGTTGAATTCAGGGCCAGCGCTGCCGGTGGTGAGTCAGGCTGTTCTCAGGTTTATGTTCAGGGACATCTCTCATGTGCCTCCCTGGACCTGACCCCTTACTGGGGAAGCTCCTGGGTTTGTAACCATCGGGCCTGGTCCTTAGTCTGAACGTGTTTGATACAAGTGTTGGGTCCTTGCTGTTCTCTGGCCAACTCTTGTGCCAGGAAAACAGTACAATGGGGCTGGTAGCTTGCGGTGTAGTTTGAGTTCTTCTGGAAGTTCGCTCTTTCATAATGTAAAATGAAAAAACTGGTGACCCAACTGCCGCCCCCAGCCTGTGCTCTTGTCCCCTGTAAGTGTCACACATGGCTGATGTGAATAATATTGGGTACACAGGCTTCCTTCAGTGCTTAGGGGAAAGGTCTCTGTGGCCAGGCACATTCCAGGGACAGAGGCTGTGCTCAGCTGTGACAGGGCAGAAAAGCACTTCTCAGGGAGGGTGTTGGTCCATCACTGCCTGGGCAACACCACCTGTGGGGCCGAGTAGCCCATGCAATAAGAACAGTTTGTGGTGAGTGTTCCATGCAGTCACACACACAAGACACACTCATGCCTGGAGACTGCTAAATCAGACTCCCTACAGTTTTCTGCCTAAGCAGATTACAGTTGATTTGCTGTGTGAAGCCAATTCAGGTCTGCTTGTCTTCCCTCCTCCCTGAACCTCTCCTGTGTCTCTGCAAAGCCAGGGCCGTGGGAGGAGCGTCAGCTCCCTCTGTTCCCAAAAAAAGCCCGCACTGAACCGGGGGTGTGAAAGTGCAGCAGCGCCGGAGGAGGAGGAGCCCATTCATGCTTACACGTGTGCGCTGTTATTCCTCAGTACGTGTAGGCAGTGAATGAAATTTTTACCGAGACTCTGCAAAGCTGCAGCCTCTCACGGTGAGGGTGGTGAGACACTGGCACAGGTTGCCCAGAGAAGTGGTGAATGTAATCCCTGCAAACGTTCAAGGCCAGGTTGGATGGGGTTCTGAGCAACCTGATCTAGTTGAATATGTCCCTGCTCATTGCAGGGAGTTGGACTAGCAAGCCTTTAAAGGGCATTTCCAACCCCCCCCAACCATTCTGTGATTCCACGTTCAGCAGCTCCCTGGCAAGAGAGTGCCGGGTGCTGCAGGGACAGGCTGTGGGAGGTGCCAGGAAAGGGTTGAATGAGGCTGTCAGCAGAACTCCGGCAGGTTTATTTTCTCCATCCCGTTGAAACGAACTACCACAACTACACAAATAAATCAAGCTGCATAAAAACTTTGTGGCCTTACCCTAGAGAAGCTGGAATTTTTCTCCAAATAGAACCCTTCAGTTTCAATTAAGTGGTGAAGATAACAGTAATTCCTGAAGAAAACTTACCGGACTTTCAAGCAAAATATGGTCAGAGACTCTCAGAGGCACGTTCATGAGGGCTGCTGATGCTACTACCCCTTTACACAGAAGTGTCCTGGCTCCTGCTGCTGCTGCAGCCCTCCCTGTGCTGCGAGCAAAAAAACCCAACCCCCGGCCATAAAGCCTGACGACCTTTGGCTTTGCACATTCAGTGGGCCGTAGCTTTGCAACAGAAAATTAAAACTTTAGAATTGTTTTTAGGCTTTCGGGGTGGGTGTGTGCCGGGGCGATGCCCCGCGTACCGCGGAGCCGACTGTGCTGCGCCGCGGCATCCACGTGGCAGCGGGGGCGGCGCGGAGGGCGCGGGCACGGCTCGGGCACTGTCCCCACGGCGCGTCCCCGGGGCGCTGCTCGTCCCTGGTTGCCCAGCACCGCTGCACGTGCACCGGCTTGGAGACAGGGTTGAACAGAACCCCGCAGCGGTTTATTTCTCAGGTGGAAGGGGGGGTGTGGGGAGAGCGGTTGATGGGACGGGGGGATGCAGAGGGTAGGACGTGGGTGCTGCTGGAAGGGGAAGGGCAAAGGCAGATCTAAAGTAAAACAGCCGACGCGAAATGGGGTGCCAGGGCGGTAGCGTGGCCGAGCGGTCTAAGGCGCTGGATTAAGGCTCCAGTCTCTTCGGGGGCGTGGGTTCGAATCCCACCGCTGCCATTACTTTTTCTTTTGTGCCGCGGGCCGGCGCAGCGCCCCCTGGCGGCGGCGGCGCCCGCAGGGCACTGTGGGTAGGGGGCGGTGCCGCGTCCCCACGTGCCGGCCCGGGTGTCACCAACATGGCGGCTGCCTGAGGCCGCCCCCGCCGCCACCGACACGGGAGCGGGGCAGCGGCGCCGCCGCCCGCCCGGCCCGCGCAGGTACGGGGGGCACCCGCCCGCTTTTGCGCCGCCCGGCGCCGCTCGGGTGGCGGGGACTCTGCGGGCGATGGCGGGAGAGGAGCGCGGCCTGGGGTGGGCTCTGCCTGTGCGGGGAGAGCGGCGCAGACGGGACTGTCCGAGCACTCGGCACCGCGGGGGCAGCGGGGCCGCTCCGCCCGGACAGGGCTCGGAGCTGGAGGGGAGCGGGCGGGTCCCTCGGTTCCCGCAGCGGCCCCGGGAGCCCCGGCCGGTGCTGCGGGGGCTGCGAGCCCCGCTCCTCCCGCGCCCTGTTCCCGCAGCTCCCGCCCTGCCCCAGCCGGCACCCGCTGTCCGTGCCCGCACCGGCTGCGCGGGGGCTCCGGCCCGGCCCGGCCCGGTCCAGCCCTCCCGCCCCGGGGCGGCTTCACTCCGTCCCCACGCTCGGTGCGGGTTGGGCGGTTCCCTGTGGCCTCCCCTCGGGTCCCCCTTTCCCGCACCCGCGGTGCTGCTGTGTCAGGACAAAGCTCGGTGCCAGGAATGCAGAGCCGAGTCCAGCGGGGAGCGCTGCCCGCGTGGGGCACGGCCCGGGCACCGCGACCTGCCCCGGGAGGGCCGTTCACAGCGTGCCCCGGCGGGACTGGCCGAGCACGGACTGCACTGCAGAAATGTTGAGGTGTTACAGAAGGGTTTGTGCTTAATGCATAATCTGTGAAACCCTGAAGGTTCCCTTCACCTCCGGAGAGAGGTCCTGGTGCAGAGGAGCCCTCCTGGGTTCGCTGCCAGAAGATGACTGTGCAAAGCTGCTCGCGGACAGGTAGAGCAAGGAGAAAATTAAGCAAGTAATTGGGTCAAAATGATAATTATCATAAACGTATGGAAGGTGCTTCAGCTGCTTTTTTGCAGGTTCCATTTCACTGTGTGCCATGAGCCACCCTGAGCGAAATGATTGCTGAGACACCCCCTCCAGAGGAGAGTCAGGGTGCCAGTTATGGCAGTGATTCAGGAGATGGCACTTTTCCCACTTTGCTGGTTCATTTTTTATACTTCAAGGCACTGATGCAGCAGGAATTCCCGACCTTTCCTGCACTGCATAATTATATACGTAGAATATGTCAGGTTGCAGCGTTGGTGCTTCGGGGTCCATTATTACTATCAAATTTAAGTATGAATGAAATGCTGGAGCATTTCTTGCAGTCCTGGGTAAAAGTCTGTGTGTCAGATGACGCGCAGATTTGCAGTTTTCTTTCTTACAGTTATATTATAGTCTTTGGTAATAAAAAAAAATTTCTAGTATTCAAATGCCTTTTTAAGCTCAAACTTAGAAGTGTAGGACTCAGTCACTTCATCACTGATTTTTTTTTTATGGTTCTTTACCATAATGTTTTTCTTTATTGGTTCTAAATTGATGTTATGGGCAGCTGATTAGTGGCTTCATTGGTCCTTGTGTTGGTCATGTCACAGGAGAAATGAGAAGATTTGTATCTCTTACCCTCCTGCAAGTTATTCTAAAATTTAATGATTTGCACTAATAATTCCCATTCTACTTAGATTTGCAACTGAACGGAAAGTCCCTCTTAAAAGAAAACAGTTCTGCCAAAAGGAAGTTTGAAACTACTGGCCGTGTTTGCTACCTCTTAATGTTTAATTCTATTCTGTAAGTCTGGTGGTATCATAAATATATGAGTAATATAGAAATGAATACATATATATATATGTATTAGACATGGAATTGTGACTGCATGCCATCATTCTGATTCAGATTACTTCCAGTTGCATCAGTATTATAAATTGTGCAGGGACACACTGCTTCCTATTTATAGACCTGTCAGTCTGATACTCCAATAAAAGGAGCTGTAGTCATGCTTTGTCCTTGCATGAATAAGAAGAAAATGTAATCTCTGTAATACAGCATTTTCCCTGAGTAGTAACAGCTGGATTCACAAAGATTTTGTGTATAATTACAT